TTTAAGGTCAAAAGTTGGTAAATTGTGGTTAAATATTGGCAAGCCTTGCTTATTTTGGTCGAAAAATTTATAAATATGCTTATATTAGTCTGGAAAATTGTTTTACCCCCCCCCCTGTCGACAACATTTCCGGGTTTACGACTTGGTCAAAATTTTATCAAATATTGATCAAAACATGACGACCCCCCCCCCAATTTTGATGCCTTAACGACGCCCCTGCTTACTATACTATGTGAATTGCATTGTACAATCCAGCAGTTAAACAATAACATATGTATCAATTTCCAATTTTGCAAGACCTTTAAGAAATGTGTTCAGTCCAGTCGGTTCTGGAATTTCAGTATTATATGGTAAAACAGTATATTGCAAAAGATCTACAATATTTGTTCCACGTATATTCTGTCCTTTGTATACAATTTCCCCTTGAAGATTCCATGTGAAAATATCCGTGGATGTGAGAATGCAGTGAAGAAGTTCTTCAGCATTGATTTTATCAACACTGTCGTTTAAGTGTCCAAGTATATCTTCAACGCGCCAATGTCTCGGAGATGATCTTTCCTTGCTGTCCATGGTTGGAATGACGATGTGAATTAATGATGACTGTCTTATACTAATGCTGCAAGCCCCTCTAAAAGTGGCGCAAGTACCAATCCTAGAAAACCACTCCCGCGCTGAACAAGAATTTTCCTCTTCATTCTAAAACTCCTACTTCTGTCCGCCAAGTCAGCGAGGTCATCTTTAAATGGTCCAAGTTTGTTGAATGTTCCTTTAGGATATGTAAAGTTTTCCAAGCAATTACATAGAAAGCGAATCTGTTCATGAGATGCTGAATCAACAAAGCTTGCTGTTGAATTGGATGAGAAATACACAAGAGCTCCACAAACGGTCTGTGTTTGATATAACTACTAGTCATCTCTGTTCAGCGGTCAGCGACGGAATGAAGATTTAGTTGGAAATAACATATTTATATATTAACGAAAATAGTATCTTAGGATATCAATATCTCAGGATATCAGTATCTTAGGATATCAATATCTCAGGATATCAGTATCTTAGGATATCAATATCTTAGGATATCAATATCTTAGGATATCAGTATCTTAGGATATCAGTATCTTAGGATATCAATATCTTAGGGTATCAAAATCTTAGGATATCAGTATCTTAGGATATGATACAATATCTTAGGATATCATACAGTACCTTAGGATATCATACAGTATCTTAGGATATCATACAGTATTTTAGGATATCATGCAGTATCTTAGGATATCATACAGTATCTTAGGATATCAATATCTTAGGATATCAGTAACTTAGGATATCAATATCTTAGGATATCAATATCTTAGGATATTTAACAGTTATTCTACGAACTCGAGTCGAATATGAGCTGATAGCCGATGAGGCGCGTAGCGCCGAATCGGCTATCGCTCATATTCGACGAGAGTGAGTGGAATAACTGTTTTATTATATACACAAGGTCTGAATTCACAGACTTTGCAATTGCTTTTCGGATATTTTCAATATTTTTCTATTTCTATTTTTCAAACGCCTACAAAAACTAAATGTCTCAAAAGCGACAGGTATGGATGGAATACCTGCGAATATTTTAAAACTGACATCAACCCTTATTGCTCCATCTATAACTTTTATATTTAACCTATCGATTAGAATTGGTATTTATATAGATGAGTGGAAATTGGCTAGAGTTATACCAATTTACAAATCTGAGGATAAGCGT